TTTGAGCATCATGTTGCTGCATTCCTTTGCATTGGCAATTTTACGGTTAAGTTACCAAGACGACAAATGCTATTTGTTCCCAAGACGTTACCAAAGAATATGAAAAACATATTTTAGAAAATAACGTCGTATTTGGTATTCTCCAGAAAATGTTCCACTGCAATATTTACACAGGTAAAAGTGCAGCCCTGAAATATATTGCTCACATCACTGCTGGGAAAAAAGCCTCCACTAGAGGGAGCTCAAGAGAGCCTCTTTGGAGAATATTTTGGCCTACTCTAATCGATTAATTGATGCATCGTTACAAGCCTAGTATATACTCTTAAAAAGGTTCAGTGAGAGTGATAGTTTTTATTAGTCATGTAAACAATGGACATTCGTCGAAATATTTTATTTCAAAGACGAAATTGAACAAGTATTTTACAATCTTGAATTAAGAAAGTTCAAATATAAAGTGTTTTACAATGTTACAAAAAAACATTAGATGTTGAAATATAAGGAGACTTTAAGTAATCAACTTGACACATTTAAATAATCCAAACCACTGTGCTTAAATGCAAACGTGGGGTTCAGTTACCGATGAAGGCAAAGGTTTTGACATCAACAATTCAAGTTCATTGCAACGCATTTTTCACCATTATAACAGCGAGCGGCTCAAAATGTATGATAACCGTCCCCTATCCGTTACCAATAACAAAAAGCAGATATCTACAACTCTGACATCAACGTCCGTAGTCGGACATGCTGACAATGCTATGGAAGAATAACAGCTTCTCTGCAGTTTTGTTTTATTGTTGGAGAGAAGTGATGGATGTAAGAAGGTGATTTTTTTTCATGGCTCATGAATTTGAGTTTATGTGCAACGCCAAAGTCTGCAACCCTTAACGATTACCCTTACACTCATCTATGCTGCCTTTTCAATAGCCGACGAATGACGATGCGCTGCCTCTTTGGCTCAAATACATTCTTATGCTCATGACACGTGCGACGAATTGTGCGCATCAGACTACACTGTTTACGATTCCTGAAAATTACAAACAAAACATTTGCGACCGTAATGTTTAGGCAAAGGGGTTTCAACAAAATTGTACAAAGGCCGAAAATACAAAAACAATCAATAAAAAGGAGATGATAAATCAAAACAATCCGTGACATTTCGCATGGGGCAGAAGCTATAGATTTTGATTTGTGCTGTACATGTTCAGGGCACTGACATTTCAGTAGGCGGCCAAATGTTGTTAATTTTCACAGCACAGCTGGGCATTTTTAGAATACCCAAGGTAACAATGCAGCATTGTCAATAACGCCGTGGCAGGTAGAGTGGGAGGAAGGGACAATTTGTGCCGGCGATGCAACTGGGCCACAATTAAAAAAAACACAAGAGTAGCATCATACATCGATACGCTGAGGCTGTGCATGACATTCAGCATACAAAGGTTACGTCTTAATTGGATTGGAAGGAGCTATGTGATGGACACTTGTGAACCGCGCCGTATGAAAAAAGGGCAAACGGAAGTTACTGTGCTTCAAGCAAAATCGTAAATAGATATGTACTTACATTTTATATATGCGGAAATTACATAAACAAGAGATACGCAACATAATTGCCTCCTGTCCTTTAAAAGCTCAAATGAAATTGAAAACGCGTAAAATATCATGTAAACAATTAACGTTATTCAACAATCAATGGCTCTTATAAGTAATCGAATCATAAAAGTAGTTCAGATTTCCACGCTGCAGTGATAATCATCGTTTCAGCATATATTTTAAGTGGATTTTTTTCTCTCTCGTTGCCAAGCGAAATTTCCACAGCCTGGCGACCGACTGCCAACTTGCCCATGCTACCCATTTAGCGAATGGAGACCCGCGTTGCATTTGGTGATCCTTGTAAAGCAACATGGCACCAACCGTCTGCCTGATTCCTGCTGTTTTACAGCTTAGTGGCTCAGTGTCAGAAGCAGGCGGCTCGCAAATTGGAACGTTATGAATTTTAAATCCTGGCTGGGGGGGTGAATCTCAGCCCATCGTCCCTCTGGGTCAATGCAATAACCATCATCTTGTGGGGAAGTCACGGGCAGACTCGCCCCCACCACAAGGATGTGCAATTGCCACGATTGGCTCAGTGTTGTTAACGGGCTAAAAAAGCACAGCCTCATTGCTCAAAGTGAGCAGGAAACCACTTGACGATTTTCTTCAATATTTACACCATATACATCTCTCGCCTTTTCACCAATCGTCATTTTTTTGCAGGTCCTCCTGATGCCGCGGGCTTTGAACTTCTTTCGCACCGTACGTAGCCAACCGTGCTCATCATATTTACACCATATGCATCTCTCGCCTTTTCACCAATCGTCATTTTTTTGCAGGTCCTCCTGATGCCGCGGGCTTTGAACTTCTTTCGCACCGTACGTATCCAACCGTGCTCATCGGACCGCCGCGTCCCGTGCCCTCCCCCACCACGTGCCACGCTGCCGGACGTCACGCGCTGGACGCGGTGGCGATGCCGCGCTCGCGGATGTAGCGCAGCAGGATGCGCCCGCGGGCTTCTATCGCTACAACCAGGCGGCGCACCCCGGCCAGCCCCCCCTGGCTCTCCCAGAATACTTTGTCCAGGCGCAGCGAGTGTAGCAGCGCAGGGCCAAAGCAGGGAGACTCCAGCACTCGCACGGCCCGTGCTGGAAACCTGGGTGGAACAAGAAGATGCGGGTTCTTGTTGTGTGTGCGTGTGGTGGCGTGTGTGCCAACGGTGCGTTGTGCCGATGATGCTTACGAAACGTGGACTACTTTGCGTGAACACCTGCACCAGTTTGAAACGTTCAGCCTGGCCTGCCTACGATCAATTCTGGCTTTAACCAGGCTGGATTGTGTGAGCTTACATATCCTGTGAAAGAGCTGGACACAATACCATCAGTGAGCTCCTCCAGCAGGCAAGGCTGCGTTCGCTGGGTCATGTAACCCGCATGCCCAGTCACCGCATGCTGCCCAAGTAACTTCTGTTTTGCCGGATAGAGGGGGCTACATGAGTGTGACACGGGCTAGAGAAGAGATGGGCTGATGTGGTGTAGAGATGAGTGGACCTGCCGATGACTGGTACCAGCGGTGTCAAGATCGGCCTCTGTGGAGGAGGCTCATGAAGGATACTTCTAGGAAGTGGAGGCAATCACCCTCCAATAACGGAGGATGGAGAAGCGATACTCACAACAGCGAGCGGAGCGCCGGGCGTCTAAAGCGCAGCAGATTGACACAGTAGAGGGCACGGGTGGTGCATCTGCCAGTCATCCCATTCAGATGAACCATGGCACCTGGGTCTGTCCCATGATCTCCTGTCAGCGTTAAGTGGACATTTGACGTGGCCTCAAGTGCACCTAGCCTTACTCTTAGGGTTTTTTCGGTAAAGTCACGTAGGTAAAATATTAATAAAATAAAATAATAATAAATGAAAATAACTAAATTAAATCACGACGTTTCGGAAGCAACACAAGCCTCCGTCATCAGGCTAACTGTTCCAGTAAAATTGCTAAAATTACTTATTATTATTTTTTTACCTACGTGACTTTACCGAAAAAACCTAAGAGTATGAATCCTTGCAGTCACCAAAGCTTCAAATCTAGAATTAATGCACCTAGCCTGGCTGTTGTTGTTGATACGTTGGGTGGAGTGGTGGTGTGTAGTGGTTACCGCTGTACCACACTTAAGAGCCTGGCTACCCCTGTTAGAATTATCTCTCACGGCCAACATCAGTGACGAATATTTAAACTGGCTCTGAGCCTCTACTCGTCCGACTCGGTCTTATACGAGTACCCGCACTCGAGAGACAAAGGAGGCTGGGCGTTATTCTGACCACAAAACCCCAGAGGTCGCAACCGGGTACCCGATACCCGTACCCTACCCGATACCCGGCTACCCGTACCCGGCCGGGTACGGGTACGGGTAGCAGTTTGCGACCCAGGTGCGGCCGGGTACGGGTACGGGTAGGCCGTGAGTCACTGGTGAGTAACCGTTTGTCACTCATTTCGGGTAGGGAACGCGTACCCGTTTGCGACCTCTGCAACACCCCCACTTCACCCCGCCTCGCATGCGCTGGTGCCGGCCTTAAAAGTTGTCCCCTAACAGCACAAGCTCCCAACACTCCACGTAGCTACACCCTGTCCACCTCGACGCCCGCGTGCGTGTGCGCGCCACGGACGTACTGCGTGATCCCTTGCAGCATTCGGAAGTTGAGGTTGTCCTCCCCTTGGAAGGGACGACCGGCGTTGTCGATGAACACCAGGCGGCTGGGGTTCGACTGCCGCACCTGCGCTCACATCATCCACACGCCGTCGAAAGCGGGGGGTGGGAGGGGGGCATAATTTGCCACCCGGCGCTTGTGCCAGGCTAGGTGCACGCGCACACGCAAACACGTGCGCGTGCAAAGGCGAAGTTGCTCTTTGTCGTCTAACGGACGGTTGTGGCAAGCGCTGTTCGGGAGAGGTTATTAAATAGAGGCTGGCTCGCCGCAAGAAGTGGCAAGAGAGTGGTGATGCTGGGCATCATCACATCCCCATACCGTGTCAACCCACGTGGTTCACCCCGTGTTCCTGTACAGGGGAATTTAGTTTTCAGTTCCATACGGCGTAAATCCGTTTCAATACGGGAAAGACCTTTTTTTTTAATTTGTTTGTGTTTATCCCTTGTGACGGGTCTTTGCAGGATGAACGTTGGGATGTGTAAGGGGTCATGGGGTGACCGATAATGTGTGAATTTGTCTGTAATAAGGTAGGGCACTGATAACAAACAAAAAAGGGGGGTTGACAGGTACGCATCACCAGCCACCCGTGTCTGCCCGGTGCCGAGGGGCTTTGGTGATTCGCGCTCACCACCACGTGCACGAGCCGTTGGTGCTCCGGTCTGCTGCATTTGTCGATGAATCCCTGCTCCACGCACGAGTCCCTGGGGTCCGGGATGAAACCGCAGCAGCCGCGGTCCAGCCGGTCGTAAACCTGGCGGGAGAAACCGAGCTCTCACTCGTCGTGTTCGTGGTGCTTCCTCTGGTTTCCCTTTTACGGCAACTCGCCGGGCTTCACGCCTTTTTTTTTTAATCCTTTATATTAAGTTCGCTTGCTTGCTTGCTTCCGCGCTTACGACCGTGCACATCTTTCGGTCGTTTTGTAACCCACTTTCCGTGATCCAATCGAGCTGACATTTTGCACACAGACTCGTTGTGCGTGACAATTTATTTTCGTGAAAAAAAAATTCCCAAATGTTCCACTTTTTAGGAAAAAAAAAATTCCATATTTAATTTAAAATACCAATGTGATAAAAATGAAACTCTTACTCAAGAACAACAGAAATGAATAATAAAATAAAACCCATGCCACGCATATAAAGGATTTATAGTGAAAAACTTTGTTTTTACGGGTAATTTTTTTACCGCTGAGGTGGGTATCATTCATCACATTGAAGTGTAATTTACTGTGGACCATTGCAGATTGCGAGCCTGTCAACGCTACGGCCTCGTTCGCGTCAAAATTTGTAACAAAAATGTCTAATTCGTCTGTTATTGAAATAGTGTAATTCGAACGAGAAAAAGTAAAGAGATGGATTTAAGGACTCGGAAAGACTTCAGTGCAGGGGTGGAGCGGTGACTCGGCGGTGAGCGCACTCCGCTATGAACCCGGTGACCTGAGTTTGCATTCTGGCCATGGCCAGCGACTGGACATCCGTCATAAAGAGCTTCGATTTAAAGCTTTCGTGACTGCAGGGATTCATCTTCTTGTTTGTTTCGGTAAAGTCACGTAGAAGGGAAATAATAAAATAATAAAAATAAAACATCATTAAATACAATTCTCACGACGTTTCGGCCACAACGCAAGCAGGCGTCCTCAGGTGAAGAACAGGTCTGTCGGAAAGAAAGACAGCGTCTTTCCGACAGCGGATTCCTCCAGTATAAATGTGTATTCTGATTCTGAACGTCAGTGGCGAGCGGTATCTGAACTGGCTCCCTCCACCTCCTTCACCAACCTGCATTGACCATTGTGGTGAAGTATGGCCAAACGACCCCCAATGACTGAAAAGCCATGGGATGGGTGACCGTCATCCAGCAGTGAATAACTACTGCCCTGTTTAAGTCATAAACTAAATTGAATAGAAATAGTGACATCGAAGTCGATTTGTTGCTAAAAAACTATTTCACTATTTTATTTTTATTTTACCAGGTAAGGTCCACTAAGCTATTCGTTTTCAGAAGCGACCTGGACATCACAAATTATAGCTCAACGAAGTGGCTCATCACGTGGACATTTATAGAAGCCAAATACTCTAAACGCATGACGTTGATTCTAAATGTGGAGGGTAAAACCGGAGGACCCGGAGAAAAATCCACGCGACCACGTGGAGAGAGACGTGAAAACTACAAATATACAGGTGTCAGAGTCACGATCAAACCCACGACCTCCTGTGGACCAGGCGAGGTGGTTAACATCTCGCCACCGTGGCGCCCTCCACACGGCTTCTGCCCCACTTAAAGAAGCATCACCACCAAGAAAAGGACTTTCTAATTCTGAGTGCTGATGGAGCATCGGATGAAGGGTGCACAGGGAGGCAGGCGGACACAAAGCAGCCAGAAATTAGGGCGCATACATCGTTAAAACATGAACAACACGAACAGGTAGCCTAAAGGGATTGTCTCTCCTTTTAAAAAAAACATTCCTGGCATAGACCCTGGTTCAGTTGGCATTACATATGAACTCCTACACAGGGCGCTGGCTCTCGTCTGGGTGTAAATTAAGAACTCACCCCCCCCCCCGCCCCCCAGACTGAAGGAAATGAAAGTGATTAAACAAAGGCGTTTACGCCGCAGTCCAAACGCGGCACGCTGCTGCTGCTGCTGGGTCCATGCTGATGGAAGAAGTCTCCACGTGGGACGACGCGCGGAGCGGGCGGGGCCTGGCAGTCGTCACGAGAACATCGAAGGGCCACCACGGCCAAAGTTGACTCCAAGCTCACGCGCGTGCGTGTGTGCATGTGTGTGCCTGTGCGTGTGTGTGTGCGGGTGTGTCTGTGTGTGGGGAGCGGTAGTGTAGCGGTTAGCGCGCTGCGCTATGAACCTGGCGACCCGAGTTCGATTATCGCTCACGGCCAACACCAGTGACGATTATCTGAACCGGTCCCGGGCCTCTCCTAGGTCGACTCAGCCTAAAATGAGTACCTGGTGCGGTGTGTAAACATCGTCACTGGGGAGACAAAGGCGGTCGGGCGTGGTGCTGGCCACCCACCCCCTCGTTCGTGTACCGTTCCGGCCTTCATAGGTGCTTGCTAACAGCACTTGCCCCTACAGTCTGTTAAGGTCATACTGGGTGTAGGGGGTGGTGGGGGATCTTTGTCTTTGTGTCCTGAAAAATTACTCCCACAGCGAATTATGCACGAGGCGCGTGTAATGCAAAACACACTCGAAGACTTGTGGAGTTCTCAAAACGATGAAAACACCGAGGGGGGCTTATAGCGTCGGCTTGTTTGACGCAAGGGGATTTATCAACCGCACGCATGGCTGCCTAGTTCTTCTTCTTGAATGATTATTATTGTTATTATTATAGAGCAAGGGATTTAATGCGGCACAGATGTTACTAGATCCTGTAGAGGTTTCATGTATGTCAGACGTGCCAAAAAGCAAGCGAATATTAACGGCTTGTTTACAATTGGTGTTTCGCACGAGGAAGAATGCCATGTTGGAGGATGAGGCGATGCCTTACGTAAGGCTGAGATGGCTCAAAGTAAGGCCCGTTCCAGGTGCAAATGCTGAAGTCGGATGTGCAATGTGTGAATGTGGTCAAATCTGTAAGTTATGGGGGAAAGAAAACCATAGCGACAGGAAAACAGCGCAGGCAGGAAACCCGCGAATGTTGAAGACACACACAGAAACTCGTATCGAGCACTCATCCGTTGTGCAAAAACCATCAGCGGCTCCTCATAAACAAGTGCCTTGTGCTCCTCTTGCCTTGGGCCCGTCCGTCTTGTGGGCTGCTTGAATGTAAATCTAAAGTTCCAGCCACTGTAAATACCAAGCAAGATGGCTCCTTGTGTTTAAATTCCACATTTATCATCATTCATTGACGTTCATGATCACTGCCTATGGGGTGATGTTTGGGTGACTCATACCTCATCCAAGACGTCTGGCCAACACGGAAGAGTTGGCAAACACATTCTCGTAGACGGGCCCTCGGGAGCTCAATTGACTGGAGACCCTTCCGCCAGCAGTGGCGTGAGCAAGCACATGCAGGGCTGCATCTTTACCTTTTACCATTTTACTTGCACGCATGTATGTCGGACTTCTTTCGCGCCGTACGTATCCAACCATGCTCATTGGACGCGCGGTGGCGGGCACAATAAACTAAACACACACAAAAAAATGGGTTCTAAAAAAGTACGAGTTTTCAATTCACTAGCACGCATCGCGCCTTTTATTTGATTCAACGTTTGCTCGTGTCCAACGAGCAGCAGCCCTTTGCGTGTACAGAAAACAGCAAGAGGCCCACAGCCAGGTCCTGCCCTGCTGCGTCCGGTCTCCGTGCGCTGTTGGCAGGTGATTTGCAGTTTGCGTGTCTTTCTTTCTGCGCATGGTCGCGTGGATTTTTATCCGAGTTCCTCTAGTTTTTTTCCCTCCACATTTGGCGGCTATAACTTTCCACGCGATAAGCCACTTCGTTGAGCTATCATCCGTGGCCAGGTCGCTTCTCAAAAAGAGCTCTATAGCTCAGTGGGCATTGCCTGGGAAAATCAAATGTCAAAAATGTAAATGGTGAACTTCTTTTGCACCCTACGTAGCCAACCATACTAATCGAAGGTGCGCTGCTGCCTGTTTGCGGATAATGACAGTGGCGACGTTCCCCAACGCTGTCACAAAAACTCCGGGGCTTCTCCTTGTAAGACTCGTACTCGATTCATAACCTCGTTTTAACTTTACAAATGTTCTGTCGTATTGATTTTTCCAAGCGAGTAAGTTAAGTTTTTTGTTGTTGTTACCAATTAAAATCTGTGTTAAATGCCAGAAAAGCTGTATTCGCTGGGTTTTTTTAAATTAAACATTCACGTTGCGCTCGCCTAAACTAATCTCGCCAGAGAGACATTGCCACGCGACTTAACGCATCAGAAATAGCACTGCGGGTGCAAATGAGAAGGACGCGCTATATTTACCCGGGAGGGCGTCCGAAGGCTACAAGAGATGGTCACGGAAGAATGAGGAGAGAGGAGAGGCAGCGGATGAGAGGCAGCGAGAGGAGGAGGGAGCAGTGGGGGGGGGGGGGGAGAAAAAACAAAGGAGGCGAGAGGGGGCGTTGCATTTAAATGCCACAATGCGGCCACACGTTTCTTTTTCGTTTCACAGGGAGTTCGTGTTGGCCGCTCCCCTCGGCGTCTAATTGAAGTGGCTAACGGCCTTCCATGCGACCCGTGTCAAGTGCTGTGGTCTCGCGTGTGATGATGTCAACGCGCATTAAAAGCCCGAGGCCAACTCATTTCGCTCCACAGTTCCAATTGAGCCCTGGAGAGGCCCTATTAGACTTGGCATGGCAGGAGAGGTGGCTGGCGGGGAAGAAAAAAAAAGAACCTCCTAAAAGCCGGGGCCCCTTTTTTGTGTGCGTGAAAAAGATTGACCGAAGCAATCGTTGCAGGTCAGGCTACGTTCGCAGCGTGCCAGATCGAGCGCCGAGCCAGAGCGCCCCTGGCGAAAGAAAGCCACCTCACCTGCAGGAGGAAGTCAAACAGGGCCAATCTCCCCCACTCGGCCCGGCTCACGGAGGGGCAGGAGACACCCGCGGCTCTTCCGCCGCCGCCGCCAGCGCCGTCCTCCTTGCCGTGGCACTCGCCACGAAGCACGGCCTGGTACTGCGGCCACGTAAGCCGAAAGGAGTTCTGGTCGTCTCCCTCTTCTGTGCGGGCAAAAAGACGCGTGCGCGTTAAAGAAGCGAAGATTCGCGGCGCAGACTTTACGGGCGGACTTTTGGGGGCAAGCGCCCGTTAGCGAGCAACAACAGTAAAATAAGTATAACCCGTAAAAACAAAGTTTTTCACTCTAAATCCTTTATATGAGTGGCGGCTAGAGTCCTCTCGTCCTCTGGCTTGAGATGGCTGCCACCTATGGGTCAGATGATTGTCTGCCAGTATTAAACAATTGGTAATTAAATATTTAATTTGTTTTCCCTAAACAGTGTAAAATTTAGGAATTTTTTGTTTCACGAACATTAATTGTCTCGCACAACGAGTCTGTGTGCAAAATGTCAGCTCGATTGGATCACGGGAAGTGGGTTAAAAAACGACCGAAAGGTTTGCACGGTCGTAAGCAAGCAAGCAAGCACGCGAACTTAATATAAAGGATTTAAAAAGAACGCTCAACACGTTGGGATATAACGCTGCCCTGAAAAGGAATTTTTTTCGTAAAAAAAGATATGAGTCGATGTTTTATGCAGTGGTCCTTCTTCATAACGGATCTGTATTTGCTATGATGGCGAAAGGACATTGCAAAAAACCGTCACCTATTATATATATCTTGTCCCTTTGAGGGCAGTTGTTATTGGCAAAGATGTTAAGTTTCTTCTTCTTGGTTATTTTAGTAAGGTCACGTAGAAGGGAAATAATAAAATAACAAAAATAAACATAATTAAATAATTCTCACGACGTTTCGGCCACAACGCAAGCAGCCGTCTTCAGGTGAAGAACAGGTCGTCGGAACGTCGTGAGAATTATTTTATTATGTTTTATTTTTGTTATTTTATTATTTCCCTTCTATGTGACTTTACCGAAAGAACCAAGAAGGTGAATCCCTGCAGTCACGAAAGCTTTAAATCGAAATGTTAAGTTTCTGTTAAGGCCAGCGTCGCTACACAAGAGGGTGGTCTGCCAAGTACCACGCCGGGCCGGCTTTGTCTCCCCAGTGCTGATGTTTTCACATGACGCTGGGTACTCACTCAGGGCGGAGTTGACTTTAGTGGGGGCCCAGGAAAGGTTTCGGACAGTGTTCTCTATTGACACGAGCTGAGGCCGAGAATCACACGGAGGTCACTGGGTTCCACAGAGCAGTGTGCTCGAATGTGGCTGTCATCTCTGCCGTACAATCTGGCGCCTTCGGTGCGACGCGCAGGCGACGCTACGAATGCCGTCAACTTTGTACCGGACGTCGTGGGATCATGAATATCTCATGACACCACCACGAGAATGGGGAGAACTACACGCATCGCCTTGAGTAAGCGGTGTATTGTTATGACGCAACTGTCCATAAGCAGGGACTTTTAACACTCCTCGTAGATGCACAGATTTCTTTAAAAAAAGAGGATGATGCTGAGAAAAGCAGTAGTCGCGGCAACCCGAGCATTACATTACTTTGGATTATCTGTACCACCACGACAACACTTTAAAAACGAATTTCTTTAGAACTGCTTTTTGTCTTTAGTTTTGTTGTCCTTCCACAACACCTCCGATAATTATCACGGTTGGGGCAAGCGCTGTTGGCGACCGCCTGTGAATGCCAATGATGTGGCCAAAGCCACGCCGAGCCCCCGAAATGTTTACGTAACGCACGGGGTACTCATTTGAGGCTGAGTTAATTGACCTCGTGGAGACCCAAGGCTGGTTCAGATTTTCGGTGAGCAGGAATCGAACGGAGGCCGCTGGGGAACGTGACGCGGTGCGTTAAACCGCTAGACCAGCGCTACCCCACAGACGCACACACGCACGCACGGGCATGCACACTTGAGTCGTGGTGTATTGTTATGACGCGACTGACCATACGCAGGACTTTTAAAGACCCCCGTGGATGTACAGATTTCCCATCACAGCTAACCTTTCAACAAAAAAGAGGAGGATGATCCTGAGAAAAGCGTCAGTGGCGGCAAACCCGAGCATTACATTACTTTGGATTATCTGTACCACCACGACAACACTTTAAAACAAATTTCTTTAGAACGGCTTTTTGTGTGTAGTGTTGTTGTCCTCCCACCGCACCTCCCACGAGCACGGTTGGCTACGTGCGGGAGGGCGTCCGAAGGCTACGAGAGATGGTCACGGAAGAATGAGGAGAGAGGAGAGGCAGCGGATGAGAGGCAGCGAGAGGAGGAGGGAAAGAAGTTCAACATACACACGTACATACACGCATGCATTCTGTTGTGACCGTTATTGTCGTTGAGCGTTCCGATCAAAGCAGCACCCACCGCTGGCGCCGTCGCTGAGACGCAGGATGTCCGGCACCCACCAGATGAGTGGTCGCGCCGTGCCGTTCGTGAACCTGTACGGCAGCAGCCAGCTGTCCAGCCTTCGCGACACGGCCGGCGGCGCGCGGCCCAGCCCCAGCACGCGGTCCAGGTGGAAGGCCAGCACCTCGTACGAGTCGCCCGTGCGCTTGGCCAGCGCGCACGCACCCTCGGCGCAATAGTCGCGTCCCGCCTCGACGGGCGGCAGGGGCCCGGCGGACGCCGCCGACCCGTCCGCCGGTCCCAACGTGAGCCTCAGCACGGCCCCGTGGCCCGGCAGGGTCTCCTTGCGCCGCACGGCGCCGCCGGACAGCAGGTTCAGGATCCGCAGATCTTCCCGGGAGAGCCAGGGAGGTGGGGTGGGCGCGTCCGGGCGCACGCTGCCGTTTGCGCGGCCGCCGTCGCCGGACCCGTCGAAAGCGAGGCCCAGCGCGGCGCAGCGCCTCGGGTCAGGCACGGGCGCTGGGACGGAGCCCGGTTCAGGAGCAGCCTCGTTGGGAACGCGGGGCACGTTTCCAGGTGCAAGGCGCTCTCCGGGTCCTTTCAGCGGCGGATCGGGTTCACGCTCGGCGTGGAAGAATCCGAATCTCCCCGCCAGCCACTTTCCCCCGAGCTCTCCCAGCCAGCCGCCCTGCCCCTTGATGAGCTCCACAAGGTTGGACTCCTCCCGCGCCTCGTTCGCCCCGACAACTCGCCCCGCGTGCCGCTCGCGGCTCGCCGCGGCGTCTCGCCCGCCGACGACGGCGTCTCCTGCCGCGCTCCTCTCAGCCGCCTTCGCCTTGTCCCTCCGCGCCGCGTCCAACGCCCCGGGGGGGTCGACCGCCAGCCACTCGTCGCTGCTGTCGTCACCGAAGCGCTGGCGGCCTCCTCTCACCGCCCGCGGTCGCGGTCCGTCGTGGGTCCGGCCCGGCCGCCTCTCCGTCAGCACCTCGGCGTGGCCTCCTCCGCCTCCTCGGCGGCGCGCGGCCCCCGCGCCCAGCGCGACGCCCCCTCGGTGCCGCGGCCGCTGGGCCCGGGGCTTGCCGCCGGGCAGGGACGCGATGATGTTGACCAGGACGAGCGCCGTGAGGACGCAGGCGAGGCAGAGCAGGCGCCGCCGTCGCTTCAGGCGCATTCTCGGGAGCCGCCGGGGTGCCTCGCGTCACGGGGCCCTGCGCGCACGCACACGCGAAGTTCACGTGACGCACGCGGCGATCCCCGTCGCGGTCGTGCAGGCCGTCGGAGCAGAGCGCTGCTGGCGACCGCCCGCGAATGCCAATGCACGGCGCACAAAGCGGGTGCGATGCGTGCCAAAGCCACGCCGAGCCGCCCAGATGGTTACGTAACGCGCGGGGTACTCTCGTTTGAAGCTGAGTTAATTGACCTCGTGGAGATTCCAAGGCTGGTTCAGATTTTCGGTGAGCGGGAATCGAACGGTGGTCACTGGGGAACGTGGCGCGGTGCGTTAAACCGCTAGACCAGCGCTACCGCACAGATGCACGCACGCACGGCCATGCACACACACACACACGCGCGCGCGCATACAGCACGCGTGCGTGACATTCGCAGGGTTCAGCGTGTGAGCGTGAAAATGTGTGGATCTCACAGGCAAAAAAGCACCCAGCAAGCTGGCAGCTGCTCTCTCAGAGTGTATTCAGGAGGGACATCACCCCCAACCCGTAGTGGCTTTTATCTTGTACATTTTGACATTTCACAGTTCAGTTGAAGACAGCTGGCAGTGCGCAGATCAAATATGGTGTGAGGGTGTTGTAAGCCAGGGTTGTGTAAATGAAACTTTCTTCTGGAAACTGACAAAAACAGATGTTTTAGATAAGCTAGGATAACATTAGTGTGCAATTACGCGCACGGGTTTCTTCGTGTGCAATGGTAATAATTCAATATCGTCATATAAACAGCATCCATCATGGGTGAGTTTTAGTGTCCGAGCTTTGGTTAACATTGAGGGTACAAATTCAAGAATCTTTGCCATGTTTAAACAAAAACCTGACATTCACAATGTACAGCCCATTGTATATCCACTGGTGATGAAGGCCTCTTTGCACTGGAGGTTTTTGAGTGGACTTCACCACACTGGTCAGTGTGGGTTGGTAACGTAGGGTTTCCTCGGACTGGTAACATAAGAATAGTTTAGTTTAATTTGTATATAAAAAAAAAGTAATTTGTTTACCTTTCCAATACTTTGCACTGCAATCGTGTTTGTTGTATTGTTTGTTGTTGTAACGTTCTTACCCGCCCCCCCCCTGGACATCTGTGAAAAAGAGCTTTATAGCTCATCGGATTCCTCCACTATAATAAAATATTCTGATTCTCGTTCATAGATCATGCATCACCGGTGTAAGTCATGGCTACCGGGAATTAAACTCAGGTGACCAAGTTCACAGTGCAGTGCGCTAACCAACGCGCCACCAGTCCACCGCATTATTTGCATAATTCTATAGTATTCACGCAGTAGCCACACACCGTCAGAGTTTTAGAGTAAGATACAAATAGAACAACAACAACAACTTTTTCTTGGTTCTTTCGGTAAAGTCACGTAGAAGGGAAGTAACAAAATAATAAAAATAGAACATAATAAAATATTTCTCACGACGTTTTATTTTATTACTTCCCTTCTACGTGACTTTACGGAAACAACCAAGAAGATGAATCCCTGCAGTCACGAAAGCTTTAAATCGAAACAACAACAACCATCGTTCACCACTAAGTGCCATGCTAGGTGCACTTTGCACGTTGAGACAAAGTGAAGTGTCGAAGGCCCTCTGGCAGGAGGTCACGGAACAGAACCAGGTGACATGGGTTGACTGACCGGGATGGTTGGCAGATGCACCATCTGTGCCCCCCAAGATGCCAACTATCCGCGTTTTAGCTGTCCGGAGCTCCGCTCGTTGTTGTGAGCGTCTATGTACCCATACCGTGAACATATATGTACCTGCACAGTACGTAGATGCATAGACATAGACGTGGTTTATGGGTAGAACAATTAACATGTTGAAGGAATGAATTGTAAATGGTCTCTAGCTTACGTGGACAGGGCAAGGGAGATATTTTCCATCTTTTCACTCTGAATATCTGCATGGGTCTGTCTGGTTCCATACCTACAGTGCTCAACGAGCTATTAGCAAAACATGAACACAGTAAACGCAAGAAGCCGCTCTCACGTCGGTGTGTCAGAGCCCAGTGAATCGAAGGGTACCGGTCACGTCCATGCTGACAGCGCTGCCGAAAAGGTTTTGTAGGCCCGGGGAAATATTCCAAATGAGTCTCCCTCTGATCCCCCTCCCTCATCTTGGCTTTTTTCTGAGCCCCCCCTTGTCAACTCTCTACGGCCGAAGCTGTCTGCGACTGTGAATCTCACGGAATCAGGCACACACTTTAGCAAGGTCACGGACGGCTCCCACCTAAAGCCCTTCGGTAATTAGTCCATCATGTCAAAGTGGGCTTCTGATGAAGTGGTTGTAGGGCAGCGCTTATTTCCTATTTGCAGGTCTGAGCCAGTGGTGAACATTCCACATTCAGATGGCAGAGAGAAGTAGTCTATGTAAAGAGAAAAATAACTCAACACACTCATCATTCGACGCTAAATGATCGATTTAGCCTGATCACAGTTTGGTTTAGAAAATTTCGAATCTGAATGAATTGAAAATCAGTGGGAAGCACCACGAACTCAGAAAACACTTCGACACATTTACCAACAAGTGCCGCAGCTGTGGCTCACACTTTGTTTTTAAGCGGCATTTTTGGCCAAGCAAGAAGCGACGGGGAACTTTGCGTGAGACCCATAGTGGTTCGGCATGTGACAACAACGACAACAACAACGACAACATTATTACAAGGTGTACGTTGTTAACGACAAGCCATTAATGTCCAGACATGTATTCAAACGATGAAAACAAAATGGCTGCTACTTACGTATGGAACAATACACTCCGAGCACTCGCGCACGAACCCGTCAAAGCAAGCCAGAGAAGCGTTTGGCACCCGTGCAGTGGCACGGCTAAGTACCACCATTGAGCGGAGTTGAGATCACTTAACCCTCTTCCTAAAAGTTCACGACGTGACAGACGCAGGAGAGTTGCCTCTGACTCTTTCAGTCTACTCGGGTTTCAGGGCTGTGGACTTTGTCCTCACTTAAGGCCCCTTAGTGCCACATCCACTGAACCATGGACTTTTGCGTCTAGGAGCGTGCTGTTTGCGGGGGGGTAGGACGTAACCAACGCTGGTATGTGTGTACGTAAGTTTGGTGAACTTCTTTCGCACCGTACGTGGACAACCGTGCTAATCGGAGGTGCGGCAGTGAGGACTGAATGGATATTTTTGATTTATAAGCTCCGCTTGAGATATAATCAAGAGTATAGGACTTGTAACGTGAGCACAAATGTCAGATAATGCAGAAAAAGTATAGTCAAAATACACACTTGGAGTTAGATGACAGAAGCGAGATACTACAGACAAGATGAGGATAAGATAGACTAATTAGCTGTTTTAATATTACAATACTTCGCTTTGTAATAGAGGTAAACCAAATATCAGCTCGGTTTGAATTTGAGCCGATATTTTGTTCACCACAAATTTTTTTTTCATGAATCCAGGACCCCCCTTCAGCCACTCAGGGTCCCTGAGCATTTGCTTGGTTCGCTTGAGCCTCGTGTCGTCGCTGGATATCGCAAAGATAAGCAAGCACACTCTGTGCGATGACTGCATATCGTGTGTAGCAACAACGCTTCGCAGCTACGCTGCCCAACAGCTTTACAGGCGGGAGCCGTAAAACTAAAACGGTCAAGGCCACGGTTTTGTCTCGATCGTTTTTTGTTGTTGTTGCTAAATTCACGGCCGTTGTGCGTGGAGAAGAGACTGGATTCATGGAAAAGTCACGGACTAAGGTTGGAGCGGTGCCAGACCTAAACATTCCCTTAATTATTTAATTAAACAATTTTTATATCGGAACTGATTAAAAAGAATCCAAATATGTGGGGCATTGGGTTTGCATCGGGAAGGCCCTCCTGCCCTCCTCCCCCCTCGTCCATGGCTGGCGTTCAGTATTTTTCAGGACCATTCCGCACGGCATTATGTTTTTTTTTTTGCAAAGGAAAAAATGTGATTTCTGCATTCACTTCCAAATATGTCGAGGATTTTTGTAATTCAGCTTCGCGATTTCCTGTGCCTGCCACTGCCCTCGTGGCGAAATCTCAGCCTCTGTCGCGGTGCCACAAATGCTGCACGACACCCTGATAGCGCCCGGACAGCACGTTCCTTCTGCACCCACCTGCTGATTTGCAGCGAGTTTCTGCTGCTGTTGGGGAGGCCGAGAAGTCACGCGCTGCGGGTCCACTCCTCCTTGAGGTGTGAAGAGATACGCGGGCAATGGAGAGAGCTGTGGAGAGACAGAGAAGAGAGTGGTTCATCTTCTTGGTTCCTTCGATTTGTAGCGAGTTTCTGCTGCTGTTGGGGAGGCCGAGAAGTCACGCGCTGCGGGTCCACTCCTCCGTGAGGTGTGAAGAGATACGCGGGCAATGGAGAGAGCTGTGGAGAGACAGAGAAGAGAGTGGTTCATCTTCTTGGTTCTTTCGGTAAAGTCACGTAGAATGGATAAATAAAATAAAAAAAATAAAACATCATAAAATAATTCTCACGACGTTTCGGCCACAACGCAAGCAGCCGTCCTCAGGTGAAGAACAGGTCTGTCTGACTTTACCGAAAGAACCAAGAAGATGAATCCCTGCAGTCACGAAAGCTTTAAATCGAAATTTAAGAGAGTGGTTGTCATGGTGGGCGTGTGGGGAGCGGTAGTGCAGTGGTTAACGCGCCGCGCCATGAACCCGGCAACGCGAGTTCTGTCCTGGGCCTCCCATTAGATTGACTCAGCGTCAAATGAGCACACGGTGTGGTATCACTTCTGGGGAGCTGCCAGGTATGCTGTTGCCCACCCACCACTTCGTCTGCTGCGAGGATCTTGATAGGCTACACAGTTTCGATTTAAAGCTTTCGTGACTGCAGGGATTCATCTTCTTGGTTCTTTCGGTAAAGTGACGTAGAAGGGAAGTAATAAAATTAGAAAAATATAATATAATATATAACTATATTATATTATTTTATTATGTTTTATTTTTATTATTTTATTACTTCCCTTCTACGTGACTTTACCGAAAGAACCAAGAAGAAGGCTACACAGTGCCACGGACAATCCTGGACTCACCCAAGTGGCATCTGCTTCATCTATTCCGAGTTTCCAAGAAGTTAATCGTCTATCATAAGCAAACGTTTCGAGTTCATTCCCTGACCGATTCATAATGCTGATGATAACTGTAATGATGATGAAAACCCTATTCGCCCGTATAATGCTTCCGCCGACACTGTCACATGCTGCCGCTCTTGCTACTGCTGCTGCCGATTATGACAACGGTGGTGATAACAGCGACGGCGGCGACGATAATCTAAGGACCAGACCCTGTCCTTCATCCGCACGTGCGCGCAGTCGTTGCCGAGCTTTGAAAGGCATCGGCGTTGTGCGTGCGGCAAGGCAAACGCATCGCTGTGGTTAAGAGTCGCGGTGTTACGGGGGCGGGGGGTGGGGGGGGAGACCGATTGGAACGCGTTCTGGAAAACTCATCGGGCTCATGTGGCACGGGAAGTGGGGTGAGGGGGTGAGGGGGTAGGGGAAGGGATGCGTTGGGGGTTCGGGGTGAGCGGAGCTCGTCGAAGAGTGGGTGGTGGGGGGGTGATTTTTTTTCTTTGCTGGGCGGCAGGCTTCTTCACCACTCCAATCTGACCCGTTCGTGATGCCCGCGATAAATTGGGGGGGGGGGGGGGTGGCTATAGCCGCCGACTATGATGATCAAAGCTGTCTGATGTCTTTTCTGGTCGTGCCCACGAGCTATTTTCGAATGATGCCCGAAGTTTCGTTCCTCGTGCATTTAAATTCACTTATCTTCTTGGTTCTTTCGGTAAAGTCACGTAGAAAGGAAATAATAAAATAAATAAAATAAAACATACAAAATAATATAGTATTTTTATTATTTTATTATTTCCCTTCTACGTGACTTTACCGAAAGAACCAAGAAGATGAATCCCTGCAGTCACGAAAGCTTTAAATCGAAATTTAAATTCACTTAATTTACCAGGTCAGGCCCACTGAGCTGCGTAGCTCTTTGTCAGAAGCGACATGGTCACATGATGAAGTGGCTTATCATGCGGGAATGTATAGCAGCCAAATACTCTAAATGTATCATTCTACATGTGGAGGGTAAAACCAAAAGGCCCGTAGAAAAATCCACACGACCACAGGGAGAACACGCAAACTCCAAATATACAGCAGCAGGCGTCAGGGTCGGGATCGAACCCACGACCTCCTGTGTACCAGGCGAGGTAGTTAACATCTCCTAGCCACCGTGATGATGATGAGAGAGACACGCACATCCCAAATATACAGCAGCAGGCGTCAGGGTCGGGATCGAACCCACGACCTTCCTGTGTACCAGGCGAGGTAGTTAACATCTCCTAGCCACCAGTGGCACCCTCCTGGGAACTTCTTCGGCGACTGAATTCAGTTCGCAGATGAATATACGAAGATGGTGGCCGTGAACTCAGCGACTGAAGAAAATTCAGTTCCTGGATAAGCTCCCAGCGCGTGAAGAGAAACGTCGGACAACACGCGGTACAACCAGAGAACGCATCGGAGAGCTTCACAGGCCAACCGTGAATACGCACGCAGTAGCATGTTTGTAAGGATGATAATAACAGTAAATGTATGTGATCGTGGCTAATTTAGCATCACTTGGTCACGTGGCTGTTGGCTGTTTCATTCACGACGATCGTATTTCTAAACACTTTACAGACGCACACTGACATCGCGCAGCGCATATCGACGTCTCCGATGGAGACAGCCGCGGTGAAGTCATTCGGCTATTTCATATTATTTTTCGAGTGGTTGTTGCTGTGTCATTTTTTTTAACTGTTGGACGACGACAATCAAACAACATGCGCACACACCCCCCCCCCTCCCTACCTGCGAAGGTGCATCTGCCAAGCTGCCATGCTTTAGTCGGTGGCCTCTCCTTGCAGCCGGACTCCGAGCGCCGAGCATCTTCCTCCAGAACCGCACGTCAAGGGCCGCACAAATTCTCGGGACGCCCGCGACCCGCTGGATGTGGCTTGCATGCCGACCCACCAACCTCCTGCCAGATCTCCTTCCCAGTGACACACTCACAGCCTTTGCCTCCTACTCCTCCTCCTCCAGAGTCGTCCACGGATACCGCCTTTAAAATCCCAGATCATTAGGAGGCACGCGGTCGGCGATTGCATCCGGCGGCGCGTTTCCTCTGCGACGCGGCAGGCAGATCAGAAACACAGCTACCTGTGAAGACCTGACTCAAGGCGGCCAACGGAGCTCATATGGGCGACGGAGCGCTTATTAATCTGACCCCCGATCCGCAGAACCGCTGTAGGTCATCGAACGACCCTTGCGCCCGTCACCTCGGCGGCAAAAAAACACTCGGAGAATTCGGCGCGCCCAGGGCGAAGCGAGCGAGGGGCATCGTCCGCTGAGCCCCCGTGCGATAAAAACGCCGCACCTCTGACATTGAGGCAAAAGCGAGCGGTGCTCGCGTGCGACGAAAGGTGCCGAGGCTTGTTGGGCGAGTTGTGGCGGCGGCTCTGGATGGGACAACAAAAAAATGCGTGCGTGGCCTCTTGCCAGAGGGGATGGGGTTGGTTTTGTGGTGTGTGGGGGGGGGGTTGGAGGGTTTGGTGATGTGAGAGTTGTGGGGGATTGGGGTGGGGGGAGCGAGGGAGTGAGAGGGAGGAGGGAGAAGTCTTTGTTTTCCTAAGACTCTTCCAGTGAAGCCAGCCCCTTCTCCCCTCATTCAACCCCCCCCCCCGTCTCCCTCTACACATCTCCCGGATATTGACTAAAATGTGGGCAAAGGAAATTTCTTGGAAGTTCTACACTCGCCTGCCTTTGACTTAGTGCTCGCGATCAACATTTAATTGGCGATAATTCAAACCAAACGTGCAAATAAAAAAATCAGAAATCGGCTAAACTTATATGTACCACGTCATGTGTGTATAAGATTGCCCTGCCAAAATCGAGTTTCACCCTTATATTTGAGAATGGTATTTGAAGCAAGCCCCAGATTTTGATTTAAAGCTTTCGTGACTGCAGGGATTCATATTCTTGGTTCTTTCGGTAAAGTGACGTAGAAGGGAAATAATAAAATAATAAAAATACTAAACAATAAAATTCTCACGACGTTTCGACTGCAACACAAGCAATCATCATCAGGTGTGAAATCCACAGCATTGCTTGTGTTGCAGTCGAAACGTCGTGAGAATTTTTATTGTTTAATATTTTATTTTATTATTTCCCTTCTACGTGACTTTACCGAAAGAACCAAGAATATGAAGCCCCAGATTGTTACGCATTGCACCGTTCGTTTCCCCTGCCAGCCTGGGGTTACTTATATCGCGACGTCTATAGGCTGGCAAAACTCTGCAAGGATAACAAAAAACGCCACTCGTGCCAACGAACATTCTGATATCCACACTGTCAGCACATAGCGGAACAATGAGATAGTCCGGTGGGGGTGGCAGGGAGACCTGGGTGGGTGGTGGATAAGACAGCAAGTAGACAGCTGGTGGGGTAATTAGGGTTGCTGGATTTCTGAAGTTCTCAGGATTTAAGCATTCTTTAAATAACAAAACAAGGTCACGAGACTTACGGTGAGGGCATTGTGATGTCAACATTTCACACCTCATTCCAATAACCTCCAAGCGCTCAATCCTATGTTTTCTTTCGCACAGGCCAAACTATTTATTAAACAATTTGAGATGTTTCGATTTAAAGCTTTCGTGACTGCAGGGATTCATCTTCTTGGTTCTTTCGGTAAAGTCACGTAGAAGGAAAATAATAAAATAATAAAAATAAAACATAATAAAATAATTCTCACGACGTTTCGGCCACAACGCAAGCAGCCGTCCCCAGGTGAAGAATGAGGACGGCTGCTTGCGTTGTGACCGTAACGTCGTGAGAATTATTTTATTATGTTTTATTTTTATTATTTTATTATTTTCCTTCTACTTGACTTTACCGAAAGAACCAAGAAAATTTGAGATGTATTTAATGAAGGTCAGCGGCAAAGTGGTTCACACGCTGCGCTATCAACATGCTAATGAGTGGAAATTCTTGAACACGGCTAACATCGGCGAGCGTGTCATATCTACTGGACATAGCTCATCGGATTCCTCCAATATAAATAAATATTCTGATTCTGAACCGGTCCTTGCCCCCCCCCCTTTCTTCAGCAGCCCACACTGACCAGTGTGGTGAAGTATGGTGAAATGACCCCCTAACGACCTGCACAGTGCGGGACTGTCTTCATCCAGCAGTGAATTGACAAAGGCCTGTGAATGATTCTATTGTACTGCATTATGCTTCCCTTGTGTCTGTAAAAAGAAATAGAGGAAGTTTGTTTCCAAAATATTTGTGCAATTGGTTAAATATGTCCGTCGGGTCTGGTGATGAATACACCGCAGCAAGCCAGAGGGTTTAGGTGTCAGACAAGTGTCGTAAATAACTCTGAGCAAACGGGAAGATTTTAACTTTTTTTTTAAAGAAGTTCAGAAACATTCCCTACTTGGAAGAAGAAAAAAAACCACAGACGCACAATCGTGCAGCGGGACGCACACATTGAGTGTGAAATCGACTCACTGTGCATGACGCAAGGCGATCATCGCATTCGCTGAACAGTTTAAAACTCAGCGAAATCTAAAACTATGAACTTAACTATTTTTTTCTACTTGACCAGGTAAGGCCCACTGAGCTGTTTAGCTCAACGAAGTGGCCTATCTTGTGGGGAATTAAAAAGGAAACAATCTGGAGATGAAATCCACGTGACCAAGGGGATAACACGCAAACTCAGAATACACAGACCTCCTGTATACTAGGCGAGGTAGTTAACATCGCGTCGCCGTGATGGCCCAAAGCAACCTGAAAGTACACCTAGCCTGGCACGAGTGCTGTGCTGACGTTGCTGTCACTTAGTGATGAACGGTTGTTGTTGTTGTAGAATGTGTACTTTATATGTATACACTGTACCAGGTATTAATGTTTAAGTGTACACATCAGAACTGCGGAGACAAAGGAGTTGGTTGTGGTGTTGGCCACCCACCTACTCGTCTACCCTGCCCGGCCTTCATAGCTGCTCGCTCACAGCACTTGCTCCAACAGTTCGTTAAAGGCCACACGGGGGATCTTTGTCTGTGTGTGTGCGTGGGTCGGTTTGTGTTTATGTGACGTGGGAAATTTTGTCTCTGCGATTTTTCTGCAGCGCATATGTTCGTCGCTCTGGCACATAAATCCTCCAACTCCATTCCTTCCCACGATGTCTGACGTTTCGCTCCACGTGGCGGCAGAACGTTGGACGTCTCGCCTGGACAACACGCGGCACAACCCCTAAGAGCGACGACGCGTCAGGGAGCCATTGATCAGCTGATGCGTCAACGCCGAGATTATCCGTAGAAAAAAAAAACCCACCACGCTCTACAATCGCTCCAAGCTCTCCACAGACGAATTAAACAACCCAATGCTGTCCTGCGCTCACCCCACCACCACCACCAACGCAAATTTAAAATTTCGATTTAAAGCTTTGGTGACTGCAGGGATTCATCTTCTTGGTTCTTTCGGTAAAGTGACGTAGAAGGGAAATAATAAAATAATAAAAATAAAACATAATAAAAATTCTCACGACGTTTCGGCCACAACGCAAGCAGCCGTCCTCAGGTGAAGACCAGGTCTGTCGGGGAGAGAGCGTCCTTGTATTGGTTCATTCTGCGCGAGTGCCTAGAGCGCGCGTTTGGCAGCGGCGGCGAGACGCGGACGGGGGGAGGAAATGAATCGTGGGAGAGGGGACCTGGCCGTGGTCATCTGACACCAGAGAAGCCCTCGCTGGGGTTCTCTCTGGGGGGCGGGACATGCATGCCGCAGTTCTGCGCCTTCACGTAGGATTTTGCTAAAACAACATTTGCGTTTTCTTGGTTCTTTCGGTAAAGTCACGTAGAAGGGAAATAATAAAATGATAAAAATAAAACATTCAGACGCTGTCTTTCCGACAGACCTGTTCTTCACCTGAGGACGGCTGCTTGCGTTGTGGCCGAAACGTCGTGAGAATTATTTTATTATGTTTTATTTTCATTATTTTATTACTTCCCTTCTACGTAACTTTACCGAAAGAACCAAGAAGATGAATTCCTGCAGTCACGAAAGCTTCAAATCGAAATTCAATACAAGTACATAATGCACCTCCTCCAAGTCGGTTAGCCGGCCTTTTGCGCGCACGCTGTCTGTTTGCGAGCACCCGTTGAAGCGCGCGAGACAGCCTAACACTCACACACACACGTACACAAGGTGGCCAACAACAAAGGCAAACTGAACGAGGTTGTAAGAAGCCGAACGACGGTGCATCCGAGCGGTGCGGAGGCCGGAGTCAGCAACGAGAAGTGTCGTAGATTTGAAGCTTTCGTGGCTGCAAGGATTCATATTCTTAGGTTTTTTCGGTAAAGTCACGTAGGTAAAAAATTAAAATTAATAAAAGTAAAATAAAAATAAAATAAAAATCACGACGTTTCGGAGGCAACACAAGCTTCCGTCTTCAGGTGGAACCGTCACATCACGATAGCTGTATCAAGTGATGCTGTATCAAGTGATAGAGCTATCGTGCTGTGACTGTTCCACCTGAAGACGAAAGCTTGTGTTCCTTCCGAAACGTCGTGATTTTTATTTAATTTTAATTTTACTTTATTCATTTTATTTTTTTACCTACGTGACTTTACCGAAAAAACCTAAGAATATGAGAAGTGTCGTAACCGGCTCCAGCGGTGGTGGTCGAACACTCGGTGGGATGAGACGAGGTTGACACGACTCCTCGACGCGGGGCGGAGGAATCCAGCAGCAACGATGCTAGTGGCGATATTGAGGAGCGATAAGGTGGTGACTGACCGCCAGTGGCTGGAGTGAAATCGGTGAACGCTGCATCGTTACTCATCCTGACTACCCCGCGGATGTATCAACAGCGTTCCCACTCCGCAGCATGTGCGCTTTGGGGCCGTTCATAAATGACGTCACGCACCTAGGGTAGGGGGGGGGGTCAGATATTTATGACGATGTGTGACGATGGGGGGGGGGGGGGTTTGAGAAATGTGACGTCACATCAAAATCAAAATGCGCAACTTTAAATAAATATAGACAACACGTTCTATTTAATTAAATAGACTTTTTAATAAATGTTTTCTCCTACAACATCAGAGTGCAGCGCCACATTAAATACGCACTACAATGACAATAGTTTAAAGCGATTTGAAGCATGTGTTATATTTTTGGGGGGTGAGGCAGAGGTTTGTTACGTCATATTTGAGGGGGGTCTGAGTTTTTGTGACGCCGTGTGACGAAGGGGGGGGGGGGGTCAAAAATCGGCCAAAATCACGTGACGTAATTTATGGACGGCCCCTTTGTATAGCAGTGGTAAAATAGACAACGACACAAAGGTCCCCCCTATAGCCAACACATACTCTTGGGATAAGTGCTGTTAGCGAGCACCTATTAAGGCCAGCCAGCACACTGAGGAGGTGGGTGATCAGCAGCACGCCCGGCCGCATTTCTCTCCCCAGTGCTAAAGTTTGCACGCTGCACCAGGTCCTCAT